TCTGGTTATAATAAAACAACATGCATTTATTAAGGACAAATATTAAAATCCAGTTTGCAAAAAATAGAAATACAGTCAATCAAGGAGTACCGGTGCACGAAATGGATTCAGAATGAAAAAAACCTTATTCAAATTATAGGCTGATTCAGTTCATGGTCCTTGGCAGATGATAGCATACGTAGCAGAGCAAGGAGGTGGATAAGGAGGGGCCATATGGGCACAGCTCCCCCACATTTTGGTGCTGAAAATATTGCACAATGTAAAAATTGGCAAGATATTCAATCTTGTGATGTTTACACATATCCTTTTATCAGCATTGCACTTGGCATACAAAGATGCTGTAAAACTTTTCTTTTTTTAACAGCTCTGGCTTGTGTTGGAGAATCTTATCAACTGCAGCTGTGAGTTCTCCATTAAATACAAGACAACCTTTTTATAGGAAAGAAGAGGATTTAATTTTGTCTGTAGGAACCCAATTGACTGTGCTGGAAAAAAAATGAAAGTACGTCACAAATCAATTACAAAACAGTCAGTAAATTGATACAATACAATACAATTCTCTATTCAGGAGAAAAAAAAAGAAAAATACCTCTTGGAGTGAAAATTGTGAGGTTAAGCCCTATGCATGACAATTCCTTGAAGAAAAGTGGAAATGACTTGTACAATCCAGGAACTATTTGCTAGCTACAATAAAATGCAATCTCAATTCAGTTGCCAGGATAAAATTTAATTGTAAAACATATTAACATAGTAAACTATGTTAATATGGATTTCTGTGGAAAACACCAAAATGTGTCTGTTGCCATTCACAACTTTAACTACCTTTTAAAGTATTTCCATTCTCTCACTTGTTTTCACTTATGGATGTGTTGAGTACAACCAATATCTTCCTGTCCTTGTCCATGCAAATAATTAAACACATCCCTTAACCCATCTCTACTCTAATCAACTGCTTGCATGGTTTTCATTAAGAATTATACTTGCAAGAGAATTATATTGGAAGAATTTACAAAGTATAAGTGAGCCACCTCTAAAATCTCACCACAGTTACCTCCCCTGTCTGCTGTCTACTGAACATCCCCATTGTTCTCTGTCAAATCTCCTTTAGGTTTGACAATTTAACTATTCTTGTGGCATGCAGTGCAGAGCTGTGTTAGTGAAGATTAGATGTTGGCAGGTTATATAATCTAGTTATCTCCAGCTTTCTTTATAGGTAAGCTGTTTCACACATGGTCCATGTTGTGTCTAGGATACCCCATCTCTATGCCTTACTCATTGCTTTAATTTTGTCTTCAATGAATGTAGCCTTCCTTCATGCCAATATTTCACCCATGGATAGAAAAAAGAAAACAATTACTTCTTAAGAAAAATAGTGCTTTAAACCTTTGCAAAGAGGACTCTTAAAAACTGACCCCAATTAATATGTAGACAGTTTTGAAATACCTTCCACTATCAAAACATTTTTTTTGAGAACCAATATTATTATGTATCAATAATTGGATTTTTTTACATTATTTTGTTTAGCCAGAAGACAAGAAGAGTATTGTTCCTCAAATCATTTGGTGTGGAAAAGGAGATTTAAGATTAGTAGATAAAAGATAAATCTAATCAGATATCAGGCAAGGCAGCAAAATAGATCATGACCTCGATATGAAATTTCAAACCACGATTCATATCTTTTTCATATTTTAATGACACAGATATTCCCCTCGTGGATTTATCTTACAACATAAAATACATCTTTCCTCGTACCTATACATTTCATACAGCAATATATTTTGTTACTTTCGTATTAAAATAATTTTACAAGAAATATATAAATATGTCTTTCATCTACAATATTTACTGAAGACAATTTTTCACCCTGCACAGGCAGGCTTTCGGTGAGCTGAATCAAGCAAACGCCATCTTGTCTTCAATTCCTCCTAAATTTTAGGAAAATTTCGAGAATTTTATAGATTTCCGATAATAATCATTTAATTCCTTCGTAAAATGTCTTTGCTAAATTGTTCTCAAAAGACATCCATACACAATTTTACCCACTATTTGATAGTGAAATCGTGACAAGAAAGGAGCTAGATATATTTACACCTCTCAAACCTTGACAGTCAGGAATTTATGCCACGAAACTTCAGTCATTGTCATTAGCCGATGAAATCGCGACCAATTCAGAGGATAACTTTTTCAAAATTAATTTCCACATATTCCAATGGTAAAATGTCAGTGAAACGATAGCGTGAGTTATCTATCACGAGAAAGAGAATTTTCAGCAGGAATTTTAAGTCTTCTTCATTTTCACAGAGATGAAAGCTCGAAATTTTTACTTGTTCAGAGACACCAAAGTAAAGTTTACGTACTTGGAACAGGAAATGAAGTATTCACAGCGGCCGTGGGTAAGCTTTGGGTTAAGAGACTTTGTCTTTTCATCGATGAACTACCTGACTGTCTTTGGTGATTTTTTGCTCTTTTCTGTTCATGCTGTGCACGATCGTGGTTTTCAAGTCCCGGAGGAAGTTCGTGCTCAGAGTGCTTTTTTCTCTTCAAAGAGGACTGTTCCACTCGCATTCTTGAGAGAGCAACTACTAATGAGTCATTCATTTCTGCAATGTCTTGAGTTTCCTGCAACTCTGGAGACGACGAAAGCACCGCAAACCCAAGATTCCGACGACAACCCAACACAGGGCTTGGCGGAGGGGCGCACGGCAATGGCGATTCCTTGAATACTGGCGTCGTTTGCCGCAACCTGGCCATTCCCTGGTGTCTTCTTTAAGTGCGAAACTCTTATTATGGCTTAGCCGTTAAAAGAACAGACCTTCCACAATATTCTGTTGTAAGAACTGCTTCTCGGTAAGCAAAATTTCTTCTTCCTTCGACATTAATCTACTGCACATGTACCATTCTCCCGCTCACATCATTAAGTCAAATCTTTTACATTTATCAGCTGACGCCATTATAAAATTATTTGATGGCTAATTGACCAATGGCATTTGTTGATACAGAATGCCTCCTTCAAAGTTCGCCAATCATATCAATTTTTCTATTGCGAAGACATGAGTCACGATATCTTTTGTGGTGAGCGTGACTGTGAGCACGAGACTGGGAAGAGTCACCCACGCCGTCTCACCGTCACCCACGCAAAACTCTGTGATCCAATTTTTTTTTTTATCACAAATCGGTTATAGAACAGACTAATCCTTCCAAGAGTGGAAAAAGTTTTAAAAAAGCTGACTGCCACTTATTTCACAAGAAGATATCTGTTTCCTCTGAGTAAGATCACTTAGGGTTTGAACGCGCCTTGTAGTATTTTAAAATCATTTGCCCCAGGAACGATTTTTCCTGAACATCTTTTTAGATACACCTCGTCATAATCAAAGCCACAAATTTGACCTAATTCCAAACAAAAAAAGCTTTCCCATTCTATTCATTCGTTATAAAAAATTTAATTGAGAAGGATTCGGAACCGCTTAATTGTTTGTCCTGAAATATATGGCATTCCTTTCCTTTGTCTGAGCCTGTAAAGATTAGAACTAATAGTTGTACTGAATAATAAAGAAATCCTCTTTGCCAATGTTCCAACAATATAAAATACGCTCACTCGTGTTTTCTGGTTCTCAGCATCTGAAGTTTCCCAAGATTACGAAATCCCACCTCACTCAAATGACGATCGGGAACTTGTCACGTGCAGCGCGAAATATTGAGCAATATCGATGAAAGAGTGAGTCACGCGATGTTATGCTGTTTTTGACGTCATTTTTGGGAAGTCAACAGAACGTTGCCCTTTTGCACGACTCGCCCAAAATCAATCGCTGAGAAACAGATGGAATTTTAGGACAACCTTTGGAATATGACGGAAAGAAAATGACCTATTATGAGTTACAAACTCGTTTAAAGACTGCATTTTTCAAAATTTGACCCACCCACCATCTGAACGTACGGCATTCCTTTCATGGCACATTTTTGTGCGTGTATCGGCCAGTTCATTATTACATTGAAACGTGTGGTAAAAATGCTGAATCCAGCGTGCTATGTAACACTTACTATAATTCTCAAGATCTTAGACAGAATTTCCGAGCAGGTGACACTCAAGTTAGATGTTCTAAGAGGGCATTTGATACGCTTGGGTGGCGCTCACGCTCAAAACTACTTTACAAGGATATTTTATCGTTACTTAGGCGCTCCGTGGGAGACCTGCATTAAAAATTCGAACAGGCCTCACTGTTAGCGCTCAAGGACGAACGTTTCTCAGTCCACGGGATGATTTGAGACGAGACGAGAAGAGGTCACTCGGGGATTAGCAGTGGCAGTCTACTTGCAGACGTCTCGACGGCTAGAAAGTTGCTCAAGCTTAAACATAAGCAGCCGAAACTCTTGACACGAAACGACCCTTCGCGTAACTCTTGCTTACGAGCAGTGTTGTTACAAAGTCTACCATGACAACATTCAAAAGACGGAAAACGCCAAGATGTGCGACGGGGGCGGGCCACTTAGCTCGGATAACTTGACCTTTCACTGATCGAAGTAATTGAAAGTAAGCTTATGGCTAAATAAGAGATAGAAAGAATTGGTTCACGCTTCGCGTACGTATACTGAGTTAAGGATGCACGCGGGGAAGCTTAGAAAGCACGAGAGAACACACTGCAATGAAATCGGTTGCAAAGATCATGTACACATTGCAGTTGGAGTAAAAAGCATATTGCTGAAATATATAACATATATAATTTATTGTAATATTCAAGTATAAATAACAATTTCTGCATTATACATAATTACATAATTTCTATAGTAAACTTGTCCGTGGTCTTTCATGTGAGTAACTTTTCGTCTGTAATCTCCTTATACATTATAAATTGCAGATTGTCTTTTTCCCGAATCTTCAGTCTTAAGTGGTTGATTACAATAATAAAATTAAGTACACTGCAAAATTGCATGTTATAGTCCCTATAAGTAACAGAAGACTTTTTTGTGAATACAGAGCTGTATCTGGACACAATAGAACGAGGGGGGGGGGGAGAGAAGGCTGGGAGAATTTGAGAAAATTAAACGAACACGAGATGCAATGAAGGACTTGTTTAGTTTTCGAAAACTCTCCCAATCCTCCCGGCCGGGATTGCCCGCTATTGTAGTCACAAGATAAAAGTCCTATTATTATAAAACCTTTCTTAAAAATAGGCGCGAATGCACCCATCTGCGCATCGCATCTAATCATACCGATCAACCGATGAAAGCGCACACAATTTCTTAAATATATTATGAAGCGGTAAAAATTTCATGGCAAATCCGTCTTGAAATAGTAGAAAATTAAATGCTCCTGCTATTAAACTAATTTTGGATTGTTGCGTGGATTTGTCGCTTCGTAAGAAGCGTAGAACAGTTCTGTTTTTATCTTCGCCTAAGTAACAGGTCTGTGCAAAATATGAATCAAAATAGAACTGTGTAACGTGTAACAGATCGATGCCCCTTTTCTGCACTGATTCAAGTCTCAGTTGCAAATTTCCTTGATGTGTCGCGTTTGGTTAATCAACTCGCAGTCACACCTGTCTCAAGCGGCTCGCCTACTGTTAAAGCTGGTTTCAGATACGTGTTTCCTTTACTTGTTCCGGCTAAGATAGCGTCGACCTACAAAAATACAATAGCAGCAGTGGACATCAAAAATTGGCATGAGAAATCAGAACGACAACTCCAACAACAATAACAACAACACAATTGGAAACGACCACACCTTACAGTAACTGATAATTATGCAGGTGGTTTGGAAAAGAGGATATCTGTAGTCGATGGGGTTTTAATAACTTTTTCCATAAGCGGCTGCAGAGGTTATGAAAGGCTGTTGCGCTCGGAATAGGGGCTGGAGGGAAAAAACCAAACACCACAACCTGCTATAAGGCGGAAAAGATGACGATTAAACTGGCTACTGTCTAACCGGCTTTTATTGAAATTCCTGTGCAGTTGTCAGACGACAATCGATTCGTGTCAATGTAATTGTAGTAGAAAACGGACTTGTCCTTTTTAAAATGTAAAACTTGGTATAAAGGACTGTGTTTGCTAAAGTAAGCTGCTGAAATGGTTGGCGGTTAATTTTTACTTGTTTTCACAGCTGCAGTCTCCTACAAACTGATCATTCAAATGGGATTTTCACTGTACCTCCTTTACTATATTGTTCCTGAATTCTGTCATTTGTTCTTGGAATAAAAGAGCGTCCTCCTTAAGCTTAACTTGGCGTTCCCTTAAAGTGCCAAGCACCTCGAGATTGGACTGAGAGGGCAAACAAACAAACAAAGACGTCAACATTACGCAAATAATAACAAACTGTAAATTACTATTTCAAATATTGCATCACTTTTGTAACACTTTCAAATATTGCATCACTTTTGTAACACTTTCACTGATTACAGCCTGAAAGATTACAAGGCTCGAGATTCTAATAAATCATTTCAAGTAAACAAGGTTCTTGGTTGGCTAAAAGTAATCCATGGTAAGGATTACACGAGCCGTGGCAAGAAGGTTCTTCAAAACTGACAAACACACAATGAGGAAAGGCACAAATTGCTACAGGTAACTTAAGTTTCAAAATTGTTTGTTCATTGTGCCAAGTTGAATACATTCCAGCTCCCTTAATGCTGTGATACAATGTATATTTACGTAATCAAATAGGATACAATTGATACATAAACATATATACGTGAGAGTAGGCTGCAAGGGTTTCACCAACTTATTCGCATTAGCAGTTCGCAGCAGGCTCTGAAATGTGGGCATCGTTCCAAACGTAAGGTCAAGATGGCTGGATATCAGCAGAGTTCTTTTCTTGCATTTTTATGAACCAAGACGAAGTCGCGGTCCATAAAAGTGCGAAAAAGAACGAGACTAATGTCCAGCCATCTTGACCGAACATCCTTGGATTCTATTGCAAAAAGATTTCGCTTTCTTAGGAATTAAGAATGACTTGTTTACTTCGAGAGCCAGGAAAGAAAGCCAACTGTGTTTGTAGCACAACAAACTCGCGAGAGTCGCTTCTGTTTTCTTTGTTTAGTCTAACTTCTGCCGCTTTTTGCGTTTCCATCGACGACATTGTCCAAGAATTACGAAAATCGTTCTAATTCAATTTTTCATGCGCAGGATCAATGCGGGCAATCCCGGGCGGGCAAGATGGCCCATTTTGCCCGCTCGAGTAGCAATCAGAACACAGGATTTGCTTGATCTAGCCCACGAGCGCTGCGACGTATAAAGTGGACTTATAGTCTGACCTTCATGAGTTCCAGGCCCTTGCAAGTCACAGGAAGCTCTGCTTTGGGTTTGGTTTGCTCCGCGCCGTCACTTTCATCCCCATACATGTTTCTTTAAAAAGAGGAAGTAAGTTATCATAAAGCAGATTCAACAAGCTTGAAAATTACGATGGCGATGTAGTTTACATGTAACAATAGTATAAGAAAATTAATTACCTGACGAGGGAATTCCGCGTAAAATTGCACGCTTGAACCGATATTGCTCTCATCGCTTCGCCATTCGCGCGATATCGTTTTTGCGTGCAATTTAACTCGGAATTCCCGAGTCAGGTAATGGATTTTCCTTGAATCGTATAATTGCATAAAAATAAGAAAAAAAGAAAAACAGCAATAATATTGTTTGTTGTTCTCCTGAGCGCGAAACAAGAGATTTGAAACAATATCACTTATTAGTCTCGTTTTCAACTCACAATTTCACGCTAAATACCAATCAGAATGCGAGGTTTTCTTCACTTATGCGACTCTAAACTCAACAGAACAGTTGTTTTTGCATGACAAAAAGCTGCAAGAATGCTTCCAGGAGACGTAAAGTGTGTCTAGGAATCTAATAAAGATGCACATAAGTACGAGTGGCGCACACTGCAAGAGTTTGTCCTCTCTATCAAAACACAAAGCAGAGGAAATACGACTATGAGAGAAATTATTTCAGAGTTCAAAGCGTTTCTGTTTAAAACAACAAAGCAACAACAAGAGAATCTAAAAAGGTTAAAATATGAATAATCTCTTTTAAAAAGTGATTTGGTACAATGTGTGGAAATATTTCTACAGCTGCCATTGTAAGGGTGATTATCTACACTGTACCTGTTAAACTCTTCCTGAGACATGGATAATGCCTGAGCATCAAGCTTCTCAATAAACGATAAAGCACAACACTGGCAAAAAAAAGTTAAAGAAAGGAAAAGATAAAAAAAAAAAAAGAAAAGAAGATAATTAGAAGTCTTTACTCAAGCTAGGTGGGAGGCAGGGGGAGGGAGGGTAGCTGAGAGCTGAGAGAAGTGAAATCCGGCTACATCTCGAACCCAGTCCTCTCGCCCCGGAGTCCAGCGGGTTAAGAACGTCAAACCATTGCGTCTCCATGGGAAGACAAAAAGGCCTTCTAAGACTTTTGAAAGTCACTTTCGATTCAGAACTACTAAAGTAACAAAACAACTAGTAATCAGTTACAAAAAGTTACAAATTAAAAGACTCCTACAGGAGGATCCTACTTACAAGGTTCGTGAAGTAATATCCAGCTTCTCCCATCATCAGTTTGTTAGGATTACAAAATCTGGAGATATATCTGTTAAGAAGGCACACGCATAAACCATCAAAAGGGAGAGATATATAAATTTTTCCTCAATCCAGAAATGTACTGAGCATGCATGACTTGACATAGCAATGAATTTGCCATCTCCTATATGCATGATAATCTCTCAGGGCCAGTTATTTCCCATCTCCTATATGCATGATAATCTCTCAGGGCCAGTTATTTCAACAAATTTTAGCTGTTGTTTAATAAAAACGCGTTCTAAACTTACTATCATGAATTTAGCTGAATCTCTTATCTGAACATTTATTTTTGTGAACAGTGTCAAGTGGGCCGAAAGCTAGCTATGGAAGGACATTTATTTAATTTAAAAAAAAAACCCCTCCTATAGAGAATACGTAAGGCCTCGGCCACTGCTTGCGTAAAACTGCTGTTTGGTTGAACATTGTGTAAAGAACAAGCCCTGCATGTTTAAAGTACAATTTACGCATATTTGACCAAACAAAGTTTCAATTACATTATTGCATGTAATGCACATTGAGGTGGATATTTGCACGGAAGTTCCCATGAAATCAAGTTGTTCTCGATTAAACCCATGTAATGATATCAACATTGAATTACACATATGTTAATAGGTTGTACACATAGTACTTACTGAACATTGGAATGTAACATTGTGGGATTTGCTTTTAATACGACATAAATGAGGCAAGGAAGGAAATCGTCGGCACTAACTGCTCCACCATCGGGTGTTGAGGAATGAATAATTTCTATCAAAATATTAAGGTAAAAAAATTGCAGCAATTGTCTTAAGAAGATTGGCAGCAGAGGACAGATGCCCAAGTCTGTAAATCTTCTACATGCTATCAATCAAAGCAGATTGTTTTGATAGAATATTCCTAACTGACAATTGAATCAATAGGGGAATATAGTTATTATTAATACATGGAGAAGCCTTAATTCACAGAGATTACAAGAAACAAATTTTGGAAATACAATATTGTTTAAAATGCACACAAATGTATAATTATTTGCTGATGCATACTATCACCTTCAAGAATTACAAGCAGTTTCACTTTTTAAATCAGAATGTTAAAATGGCAGAGATTGTAAGAATACTAAAGGATACTAAATATGTTCTTGCAGCAACGCACAACACATGCTAGTTTATCCTGAGGAGCTCTCCTTGTGTTTATTTCCACCAGATCTGGGAGGAAAAATGAAGATTAAGTGAAAAACAAAGTTTGAGCATACATATACAAGAAACAAAAATTGCACATTTCCCATGTTTTAAAATTCTAAGTATAATGTGCTATAACGAAGGTTGGCATTATCACTTGTAACTATCTGCATGGCCTGATTGTGGACATGTCAATTCATCCTCTTTGCTCAAAGAAATGCTGCAGGAAGTCTCTGAAACTTTTCTGAATTTCTCTGAAAAAAGCAAAGTGAATGAACACAGGCCACCATTCCAACAAAGTTTAATCTTATGACTACTTGCCATATCATGCACTGCAGAGGGAATTTTCTGGCAGCATTTTGAAGCCACCATACTAGATTGGTAAAAGGAACTTGTCGTTCTCACTTACCACCTCTCTAATATATGTAGACCTGTAGTACTCACTCCATATTCAATCTTCCTCATCCCATATGGTGACTACAAAACTTGGTCAAGATAATAAGCACTTGCCACAATAACAGCAGCTCAGTCTACACGAAATACCCACAGACATTAAAACAAAAATGACTTGTACCTTGTTGTGCTTCATCAATCAACTGCTGAACTGCATCAATATCTGGATTTATAGCAGCATCCAGATGCTGAGGAGTTATCCAGTTAAAACTTCGCATACGCTTCTGATTTTCCAAATCTCTTGCTTCATCATCCGTGGAAGCTGGACTGAAAACACTGTAAACACACAATTTGCCAGTTAAATTTCATATTTTTCAGCACCTTAACCCTTGCTGCCTGCAACTAGCATCTTATTTTTCCCTGGCGTAATATCACCCATGAATCACACATTAGGGTCCCTACAATAAAACAAATGATCCCCAACCAAAGAAGCTCTTGATTGTCAAAGAAATTCTCCTTGTCAAAAACTTAGGAAATGTATGAAGAACAGTATGGAGAATATACGCATTAATGTTAAAGTGTAAGAGATTAAAAGGCAGCCTCCTGGTTAGCTCAATGGAGAGAGCGCTGGACTGTTAAGTGGGAAGTCGAGCGTTCGAGCGTCGGCAGGACCAACACTCAAGGTCTTAAAATAATTGAGAGGAATATGCTGCCTTTCTATAATATCAAGAAACAGTTAGATATTCTAGTCTTCTCGGATAGGGACGAATAAATGGAGGTCCTGTCTCCTGCAGGGTTAGGGGTAGGAGACATTAATTTCCCACGCACGAGATTACTGTGCGATGGATGTCCTCCCCTGGGTGGGATGGGTGGTTACTGGGCCCGCAGTGATTGGCGCAAGCTGTTGCAGAGTCCCTGCCTGTCAGCAAATCTTGTAAATAAATAAATAAATAAATTGGGGATGTACAACGAAATACAGATGTACAGCAGTAGGACTTCTCTGCAGTTTACTTGATACATTTACATTCAAAATCTCTAAATGTCACTTTAAAAGAACAGCTTTCATTATCCAAACGTGCTTTGTAGAGTACAAATAATGCGCAAGACTAGTACAAATATCACGGTTACGATATTTGTACCCCAGAAATATCCGCCAAATTCGTCTGCACTGAAAAAACAATTTGGCGTGTTGGATAATAAATCTCTATTAGATGTTTTGTTGTGTGGTATGGCTGAGTATTTTTACTCGTTGTTTGTATTTTGACTCGCCCCATGGGCTCATCAAAATACGGCACACCTTGTAAAAAATACTCAGCCATACTACACAACAAAATGTCTAAAAAGATATGTTTACTGTACATGTACATACACTTTATATAACTTTGTCATGATGTATTTTTCTACTCCATCCAATGTTCTGTCAATCCCTTCTTGTGGTTGATTTTGAAACAACTGATGAGACTGTAGGTGCTCTGACATTGCCTAAAATGGCAAATGAAAAGGGTTTAGAATCATGCCGTACATTTCTATTTTTTTTTCTAATTAAGTTTTCTAGCATCTTAGCGTTGTAATAGTGTAGTATCTTAATATTTTAGTATTTAAGTGTCTTAGAAAATTAGCATTTTAGTTAAAACTTTGTATAATTTAATAAGAGCCATAAGGGAGGGTACAGTTTCTTTTACTGTAATTATGTACCCTAAATAAAGTTTAAAGTTTAAATTTCAGAATTACTGTTATGGTAAGTTAGAGTTCACATATAGGAACAATAAATTACAGACTGAAATAATTCAAAATGAAACACATGATTCACAACTGCTGAAAACTCACCCCATAAAAGTCATGAACCATCTGACTCTGTTCTTCTACCTTCAGTGATGGGTTGTTTAAAATCGTTTCAACAAACCTGTCAACAGTAAAAGGAAATGTAAGAAACGATTCACCCTTGTGACAACCAAAATCTCAACTGGCAGGGAAAAAAATCGGCAAAATATTTTTATAAGTGTGAATGAGGAGCTGAATCGACTGTCACGAAATAACCCAGCCTATAAATTATGGCTGAATTTGAACTGAGGCAACCAAGACAAAATCCAACAACTTAAACACTTTACCAACCTGTTTTCAGATAGCTACTGTTAATAAACTGCTTCACATTGGCTTACCAGCAAATAAAACAGACAAGCAGTCTGTTAATACACTGTAGTTAAATATATTTTAACTAACTGACAATAAACTGATCAAGATTGATTTTCGCTTGGGGAATTACCCTTGCAATGAATATGTACTGCAGAGGAATCACTGAGAGGAATCAATAGATTTTTTCCTTAATTTAAATGCCAACAGCCTAAAAACAACACAATGTACAATAGCCTTCCATGTATATACATGTATATAAAAGAGATGAACACCTAGAGTACAGTCATGTCAATGAAAGAACTTTGTACTACTTGTAAAAATAAATGAAAGCATTTGAAATTGAAAATTACTCACACGTTGCATTTATGATTGACATCTTGTGCTGCTGGTTTCTTTATGGTCTTTAAGAAATCCCGAAAACTTGAACCACTCTTTTGAGGCTCAACTAAAAAAGATTACAACTTACAATAAACAAACCCATAATGCTTTAAGTACTACTAACTAAAGGGATTAAATAATTGGAACATACTTTATATATGAATATTGTGCGAGTGAAAAAACATGTATTGCATGTGACCCAGCTGTACGAACATACTTCTCCTTAATCCTGGAGAGTATCATGATGTTTATCAAGACCTGAAGTTGATGCACCTTTAAAGGACAATTAATTAAATGAAAAAAAAAAAAAGTTTGAGAAATTCAGTTCAAAACTAATACCACTGTCATTTATACCAGGTCTTTCTCAATGCATCAACTTTTGTATTCACTGAGTTTAAAACAAGCCAATAGGAAGACTTAAATGAGCCCCTATCAATTTTCCAGAGTCAAACACAAGAAAACTGATCAAATTTAGGATAAATTTTTTAAAAATTGACTGAGGCACTTTGATCCTGACAAGCAAAGGGACATAACAAGCACTCCCACAAGTCAGGTTTGACTTCAGTTAAACCTCAGGAAAATAAAGCAAAACCCTTCAATTGGATTGTGATTTTAGTATACAGGTGTAAGGTAATAAGTACATGAATGTCTTGCAATGCATAGGAGACGAGTGAAATCTGTGTCCTAAACAAAATGAAGCACTCAAGACCACTCTAATGACTAGACTCTATCCAGGTGACCACCAAATGATTAGAACCATAGCAAACACCCTGTACAAGAACAATGACAGTACACACCATCCACTCTCACCTGGAGATGGGCTAAAAATTCCAGCGTCTGGTACAGAAGCTCTGCCTGGACTCTTTTTGAATAATTTCTTAACACTTTGTCTGTCAGGAAACAAACTGCAAATTAACCAATCAATGATACAAGAGTGGTTTACTGTAAAGTACAGCACTTACATCTACGTGTGAATAATGCTAATCATAGAGAATCTAAATCTCTTGCTGGTTTGTCCTTGGTATACCTGGTACAAGTTCTCTAACTCTGGCTACTGAGCCATGTCAGCTGAAAGAAAAATCTTCCATTCAAAAAAACTTTCAGTTATCTTGATGCTGATTGTATTAATAAAGAAACCTGTTCAAAAAATCAGATTCCCTGCTAAACCAATTTCCACATGCAAGTGAACACAAACATACAGCAGTATTTACTCTTACTTTTTGGACTCTAATTGAAACCTCTTTTTCTCTTCAAATTTATTGAACTTGAGTTTTCCTCCTGATTCTTCCTCTTCCTGTGCCACTAAAAATGAATGGCATGTAGATCTCAAGAACTAAAAGTGCAAGGATGGTGTCACAGGGATTTAAGTTTAATGAGTGAAAATGCATGACTGATTATTGATCCTTCTGTTTAAATGAGAAACAAGAATTCTGGGTTTAAACCTACGAATACCCACACAAAACACTTTGGTGAGTAGGCACATGAAACTGGGGCCAATGTATTAACACAAATTTAATTTTTTTCTACCTATATTTGTTGCATGAATTTTAAGTTCTCTTTAAGAGCACTAATAACCCCCACCAGGAAATCCTTTTCAACTACTTGAAAGCAAATTTTGTGCCTCTTTAGAATCATTTCATTTCTGTGCATACTCTGTGAGAGGAGAAATAAGGAGAAACTTTCAGATATTAAAATACACCTATCATTTGAAAGACAGATTTGAGGTTAAAACTGGGAACAGATATCAAAGACATTGCATAAGTAATGGAATAACAACTGAAGTTACTGTACATACCTTCTGTTTGGAAATTGTGAGAACCACCAGATAGTGCATCTTCTCTGCTTTGTGAGGCAGCTCGAGCCCTCTGCTGCTTTAGATACACCTCTCTGTAGCATACTGAACAATAGCCTCTCCATGCAGGATTTCCATAGAAACCACACCTACAAAAAGATCATTAAGTTCATTAACACCATTTTTCATGTTACAAAAAGAAACCAGAGCACTAATAATTATCAGTGGAGTGAAGTGCAGAAAAAGTGTTGTGATAGAGTTTTAACCGTGGATTTAAAATTGGTGTTGTGAAATGGTCCTCATTTCAATGCAGTCACCAAATCTCAGGAGCTGTGGGTTACCAACAGACAAGCATGAAAGAGGTCAAACACTACATTGCCAGCTGAAAGGAAGCCAGTTGCCTCTGACAGCAAGACAATTTTAACTGCAAAACATGGTCACCAAACTTCAATCACACCTCGCCTCACCTTAGAGTCTTTCTTCTCTCAACCAAAGTAATTTTCATGTACATTACTTTAAACCTGGTTAATTACATGTAAAATTTAGACAGGCCCAATTAGATGCATAGATTGTTATTTTGCATTGTTTACCAAATATAAACATATTACTCATACTGTCATACTGATTTACACACATACTGTACATGTATGTTGAAACCTACATGTTGGTAAACAGGCTTTAATTTGTTAACCTACATACATGTGTACAAGTTCAAGTTAGTTTTTTTAAAGACTTACTGACTGGTAAGTTATTTCTTGAATTTAGCAATTCAGGAAATAATTTAGTTGCCAATTTGGCAACCAGAAAAGATGTATAGTTGTAGTGCAAAATATTTTAGTTATAACAGTCAGCCCTCCAACATGACAATACTGTTGAACACAAGGGATTACCATGCCTGATAATCACTGGGTAAATAACAGTTCTATAAATTAACTGAACAAATGTGGATAAAGCTACAATATACTGTACTTTCGTTAAATGGTCAAATGTCATTGCATCCAAAACATTGAACAAGAAACAAATTTATTTCGCTGACTAGATTTCACATAAGTAGATAAGGAAAATTTGAAAAGATGACAGCAGAAATACCGAAATACGCAAAAGATGAAAGAGATTGTTGCAATAATTATTAATGTTAACCGATCCAAGTAGCAGCAAATCACATGAGAATCATGACAGTCATGAGAGGTCAAATTTCATTGCTTCTTGCACAGTATTCTTACTGTCCAACATTACGAAACAGGGATACTATACAACAAAACCCATCTATGCCACTCATTCGCAGGAACTTCTGATCGAACAAGCAAACAAGAATAATTTTGAATCTAATTTGAGCACCGGCAAACAAAATGACGTAGCACTTCCAAAACGAAACAAAAAAAAGCACAGGAAATACAGGAAATAGGTGTAGAAACTCGCTCGCTTCTTAGAGCACATCTTTTTAAATTCTACGACACCATGAAGACCGCATACAAATATTCTCTTTGCAGTTTGAAAAGAAACGCGCAACGTTTCCTTACACCTTAAATGTCGTGAACTTGCGAAAAAGATTAGTTTCGGAGATTTGAACTACACTAGTTATGGAAAGGATTGTGTCAGCACAGCGGATGTGAGTGCGAAACTTACCCCGTTTTACAGCGAAGTTCAGGATTATTTAACCTCTCGAGAATTTTGGATCTTGTTCTACTCCGATCAGCCATTATTGGCTTTCTTGTGGGCAACTGCGCTAGCTATCGAAATGAAAAAACCACCATCAACAATTCGGAGTACGTCACTTCGCCATTTTGTTGATCTTACGCCCCTGAAGGACTAGTAACGAGTCCTGTTCGCGGTTCCCAGTTCCCATTCATCGTTTTTACATAATTATTATTTACAGAAGGAAACTAAATCTATTTTGCTGAGGTAGAAAGGGGCACCAGTCTATCCCAAAATTAACTGTATCGGATGCAGTTTTCTTTTTAAATAGAAATGCCCTGCTCGATGTTACTCCCTGATTTACACCTAACTGAAATAAATTTGTTGCGGAAAAAAGCAAAAACAGAAAAGGAAAAAGCCAACATCTACTTGGAACTTGGAACTTATACTCCCAAATAGCTGGGCTAACGCTGGGAGATATAGAATAACTAATTAATAGTGCTAATAATCTACAATAAATATGTAAGGTCTAAAAGAAACAATAAATGTAAATAGTTCAAAATCTTTTCAGGTGGTTCGGGGTCTTCATGTTCTGAATGTCCCTTATGGCTAATGATTTAAAAGAAGTAATGTTCTCAACTTGGACTGTTTGAGTTGACAGTTTATTCCATACCCGAACAGTTCGTATAAACGGAGAATAACTGTGCGCCAAAACACTTGTGTGGGGCTGGAGCATGGCATGTTGGATCCTTGGTCTAGGAGCTGGTTGGATAGAAGGTGGGAATTAGAGATCTATGAGNAAGAAACCCTTTATCCATAATAAGGTTTGGCCTTGAATACCATAGTGACTTAACTTATGTAAGAGCTTTGGATGAGATACTTTGTCGAAGGCCTTGCTGAAATCGAATTGGATAACATCAGCTTGACCCTTAATGTTAAGAATGGAGGCCCACTCGTGAATGGCTGAGACCAGTTGCGTTTGCCAAATAAGAATTTATCAGCATGAGAAGCCCGGCTTGCTTGAAGCGATCGCGGATAATGTTCCACTGCTTTACTGCTTTAATGACAGTCTCAAAACTTTTGGAAGCTCAATCATTTTTGATTTTCAGTGTTTTCTCGGGTTATTTGGTGGTCTTTGGTGGGTTTTTAGAACGAAGAACGACTTAACCCTGTTTACTGACGCTTCTTTAAATATTAAAAAAAAATCCTTTCACGCAGGGTCACTCGACACTCATCCCTGGAACTATAGAGGGTCGGGTGAAGCGATGGAACTGAGAAGGAGCTAATAAGCAAATAAGTTTAAGACACAGACAAGAGTCGAAGAAACGAACACAAAAGCGAGGTTAGTTCGTTTTTATCCCAAACCAGCTCGGATTTTCTAGGTTTCAAATCCTTATATTTCGCCTTTTGTGCAACATAAAAGAATGTTACACATGCATTTAAGAGGAACATCGTTCAAGCTAAAGCTGAATGATCTCTAGCAATTTATCAAAGATAATAGTGAACTAATGCTAAAGTCAAATTTAATGTCGCATTCTATGATTTAAAAAAATGGAAATGTTCAAAAAGGCAAATTTTTGCATATACAGCTGAAAGTGAAAAGGGAACACTTATTTTCTAGTTGTTTTCTTTCAGTCGCAGAAGTGATTCTTTCTAATACCTCCTTAGTCTACCTGTTATGGAGGATCTTTAGTTACAACTGACTACTATATCTGATGCAATGATACTTGAACATAAGTCAACGTCTTACGAGCCAAGCAAACTCATTATAGCTTTAATATTTGGATAAAAATTGTACTGCAGATGTAAAACCGATTATTATTTTGAGCTAAGGTTCATTTTAGTCTTTGACAAGAGATTATAGTCTCTTGTCGAAGAATCATATCAACAAGTGCATCGGACGATTACGATCTTGTTCCAAATCGTGCTATAACGGACGGTCACTTTTTTAGGGCTACTATTCTGTTTAATCTTGGATAAAATAAACAAGTGCATCATCGGACGATTCCGATCTTGTTCCTTTTAATGAAAATCTACGAAAGAAGGCAACCACAACGCTTTTCAGACGAACTATACCACGGCGACAGAAACTGAAACTGTAGATTGGGCACAAGTAAACTTTCTTCCAAAAAGACTTCAAATGAAGGAATCCTTTCGCTAAAAAAAAAAAGAAAGAAAACAAAAACATTGAATCAGTGTCACTCATCTTTAGATATGTTCACAGGAAATCGTATTCTTTTGTCATGCCTCACCTCTAAAGTAGATGTCATTTATGTATGTAATCAACCAGTATATTTATTATATTAAACCTCAGTATATCGTGGTGTTTTAAAGCATAAATGTGTTGATAAGATAGTATAGAAGAGACTGAATTGTGTAAACGGTTTTGATACCGATCATTAGAAACAATAACGTTCAAAACATGATCAGTATCAGCCAGAAGTTTTTACGGCCGCAAATTGCCAAGTATTCTAAATTTGCAGCAACTTTGATCAATAACATAGCCTGGGAGAAATAGAGGGAGCCTTGGGGACTGGGCCGAAGTCTTCCTTTCCCTGTAGTATTTAGGTTTTCTCCCTTTTATCAGTAAGTCTTTTGAGTGGATGTATAATAAGAAATGAGGTTGTGCGTTTGTCATCACCACGACATTTCGGCCCCCTTGTACTTAATTTTCCTCGTCTGCCTCAGCATTGTGGCACCGTTTAACCAAAAGCCTCGATCTTTCTGTAAACTTACATCTCAATCGAGGAAGCAGGTGTTAGTAATTCTTATAATGTAGTGGTTATTTTGTTATCTATTAATTCAATTGGAAATCGAGTAACCAAGAAAATGAAATGAAATGATGAACTGACATTAGCAGAAATGTTTCGTAATTTGTGCAGTTTGCAGACGCTGTTAGAACCTGTAACCCACGTACGGAGGTGCTTAAAGACAACAAATTTTAATAATGATAACAATAATAGTAATGATAATAATAATAATAATAATAATAATTATATTAATAATAAATAATTAAGCAATGAACATTCCACTGGGTGGCTCCTCTTGTCCAGTGTTTCCAGATCGAATTGGAATTTGGAATGTTGGTTTTTGCGGAGGGAGGAAAGCCGGAGGACCCAGAGAAAAACCCTAGGAGAACCAACAACAAACTCAACCCACACATGACGCCAGGTCCAGGAATCGAACCTGGGTCACACCCGTGGGAGGCGAGCGCTCTCACCAAGGCGCCATCCCTGTTTCCTACACAATTTCATGAATTTCCAAACATTACTGCGAAATTAACATCATCATTTCAGGTACTCACCAATGGCGAGTAACAACACAGAGGCGTTAAGGGTCAAGAAGAGGACATTCATAAATATGGAGTTGTCTCTATTCTGCGTATTTCGGACATCCCAATTTGTGTACACTGCACCAAGACAGACATCAAAGAATATGATCCACAGGACAAATGTTTGTAGACGATCCTCAAACTTGCTTTTTAACGGTCGGAAGAACGTATACGCAACTCCAAACGCGCTTACCGTCAAGATCGTAAGGCCGACTTGAGAAAGGCCTTCAGATCCAAAGAGGAAGATCAACGAGATCAGTATCAGCTTTCGATACATCTCTATAATCTCCCAAAACCAAAAATTATTCTTGTAGTTTTCAAAGAACACTCTCAGTCCGAATTTGATCGCCTCATTTTCCTGTGACTCGCGATATTTGTAAGTGAGAAACAATGCCAGAAGTGGAAATCCTATAGGATATAATGAAAAAACTGCAGCAATAAGCCAGTACAAGCTATGGCGAGACGTAAAACACTGGATAGAGTAATCGGCTCTCAAGAGGGAAATACAATCGTTCATGTCGTCGGTGAAACAAGTTTTCACGCAGGCACCCGGGAGAGGAAGGATCTGAATTATTGATTTGCCCGTTGCAGGGTCTGAAGTCAAAAGAAAGAGGAAAATGTTCCGATAGCAAGACTTCTTCAAGCTCAAAATTTCCCTTTCTTTGTCACTATTGGGGCGATCCATTTTTTTTTCGATGTAACGCTTTTTCAGGATGAGATAAAGAAAAATCAAACCAACAACCAATACATTCACGCATATTGCCACCACAAATTTCACGAATTGATCAATCCGCAGTTGAGAATGGATGCAGCTTAGCGGAGCGAACTGCAGAATGTTTCCTTCGACTAATTTGAGGTATTCCTCCATTGAAATCAAAGCCACAGGCCATCGAACTCTCTTCAATGCCGAGAAAATACCAGCAATGACCTGGTAGAAACCAATTACAATCTTAAAGCACGACATGATGATATCAGCAATGGTTCGGTTATTCTCTGTGCGTTTGGAGTCGCCCCAAAGAACCATTAGAAACACAGTAACAAACAAAACAACTACCAAGACGGATGAAGTTATCGCAACAGATAACCGAGGACATTTCAAGCAAGAGTTGAATCGGAAATAGAAGCCACCAGTGCAGGTTGCGCACAAAGTCCCTTGATATCCTTCGTGGCATTCTGAGTCAATCCCACCTTTGCATGAGTCTATGTGAGGACATTTTAGTGGTATTGGAAGTGAACCAGGAAATTTGGAGGAAATACTATTATAATTGGATCCGTAAGAGTAAATGTTAAAGACAAAATTCTTGTACTGGTCTCTCTCTGTTTTTCTAGGCCATTTCCAGAAGTAACCGGGTGCAAGTATTGCTGTATCGTTCTTCCAAACAAAGCCGTCTAGTGGACATGCTGTGCAAGGGCCAAAACGATCCAAGCGGTAGAAATTTTGGAGACATTTACATGCTCGATAACCAGCGGTCTCATTGGACAACGTTCCTGATAAATTAAGAATGAGTGTTTAGA